TTTAGTCAAAATATAAAATTAGAAAAATTTTGCTGTTGCAAAATAAATTGTATGTTGCCACTCAACATTCAGGTTAGTTAATGAACTTTTCAGTCACTTGCGTTTATCTTAAAACAACTTTTCTAATTTCCAGTTGTAGTTTGAAACAGAAAAAAACTCAAGTATTAAATGGTGCAACAATAAAATTTCCAGATTACACAAAAATTTTGAATCCCAAATATAAATTTGCAGTTGGACAAGATGGTTAGTAAAAATAATAATAATACATTTATAAAACATATTAGTTTGAACATACACGAATTATGCAAGTCAACACACATGAACAGTAGCTTAAATAATGGTTGGCTATTCTTCAAATATAGCWGAAACAGTGAAATAATTGTGTCGAATTACATAATTGTAAATACCTTGTTTTATGCTCCATTAGTMAGTACTTTTGTCTACACTAATAGTGTTAAATAAAAGMTAAGGAAAACTATTCATTAAATATATTTTGATTGTAAACTGCAGATTCTAAAAATCCATTGGTTCGATAAATGTCTAATMTTAAATCAGTAGTGATTCTAAACTAATTTWCTTTGCTTTGATTTTTCACATTCTGTTTCTTAACTGCTCTCAGCAARATAATCTGTATGTAATATGCAATTGACTTTGTAACGTACAAATTATGATTTCAAATTATCCAWCCTTAATTTTATATGRGTTGTTCACGTCGATCTTTGTTGCAARCTATTAAATAATTTTMAGGAAACCCTCTAGATAAATTGCCTACGACTTATGACTCATAGTTGGTTTGCCATATTATACAATGAACATTTAAGTTAAAAATAATAGCTATCAAATTCAGCAAAAACGACATAATCCGGCTGTTATTATGGTATTGTATTAAATTACTAGTTTTTTTATATTATGTTGAATTTAAAGTAATGTGGCGGTGTCGAAAGTCAACAACTTGCTAGATTTGGCAATTAGATATTTTCATGGTAGACGATCATTTGATCACATTAACACAAAAGCAACTATGTGTATGTAGGTGCTATTCATCATTGCATTATATTTGTTGCATTGTTTGCAAATTGAATAAATACATAATTTAGTGGATGTTTTCATTTAATAATTGTTGACGGAATGCGGGAACAATTGCTCATATTTTATGTTACAAAATTTTTAAAGAAAAAAATGATTTGTTTGAAGGCTGCACTGTGATCTCGCGGTTGTATGAAAGTTTCAATAGAATATTTGCTAGTAGGAAACCTCACATATAAATGTGGCATGTTTTATTTTCCTACAGTTTACACAATTAATTAAAAAAATAATCAATTTTTACAGCACTGGAAAAAGTTGTTCAAGCTAAATATATTATTGGATATTTTTTTCAAATCTAGTTAGTTATTTGGAAACGGAATTTACTACACACCATTAACAACTAGACATTTATGGTTATCAATATTATGAAATTACTGCTACATGCATAACAAGCCAGAATTGATTGGAAAAAATATTGATTAATTTGAGTATTTGATTCATTGTAATTCAAATTAAATTCGTTGGTTAATAACTAGCCAGTCCAAGGTACCAATATTCGAAAATAAGTTGTAAATAGCCCCAGTATATGTAATGAATTAATTGGTTGAATAATTACAGTTAAGAGTATTTCAGACAGATAAACCAGTCGAGGCAAGAATAAAGGTTGAAATTAATATAATAGATGCTTATTTCATACCACTGAGTAACGTAATGTAATCAAAGAGAACTATATTCAGACTAAACCATCAAGTTCTGTAAAGCAAACATTAAATTAAACATCAAATAAAATTTTTATGATTTTACTACACTTGCATTTAGCCAAAAGTTAGTAGTAAACTGGGCAGTGTGAGGGGTCTTAAAGAATAAAATATTCAATAACCGATTAATGTAAATATGAACAAAGTTAAACCCGCACTAAAAAACGACGAGTCTGAGACTAAAGATTGTTAAAATCTAATTTACCAAGTGAAATGTGATTTAGGACTAATTAATTCTAACATTCTAACTATTACTTTTTGCATTTTGTATAATTTCTCTCCACTTGTCAAAGAATCGAATACAATTACGAACTAATTTTGAACAATGTATTGCCACCACTAAAAGGTCGTTTCATCTTTTCGGTTGAATTTTGCAAGTTTCCATTCCAATAGGAGAATTTTAACAGCTTAGAAATAGGAGGAGTGCCATAAGCAATGAGCAAAATGATTATGTGACCTTCTTTACCTGAAAAGAACAATAATTGACTTAATTTTCATTAAAAAAAAATGTGTGGCTCATCTGCAAAGTCAAAGTTTTGATAATATTGCTGTAAATTTCTTGCTAAGTAAGACTCATATTTCTAAAAATCTACCGCCCCCATCTGCATGGGGCAAGTAGTAAATTCTAGAGTGTAGTAACAATAAGCCGATCAGAACATTTTCCTTGGTAACTGGAGTAAATTCACTTTTTTAGTTGTATTAGTTTTTTTAGAAATTTTCGTGCTATTCGTAAAATAGTTTTTTCGGCAAGCAAATTTTTATGTTTCCTTGCAAGCAATGATCTTTTTTATAATAAATTAATTGTCGAATGTTTTACGTTGGTCAGGAACGCTGATAAATTTAATTCAAGTGGTGTTTTCGAATAAATAAATAACCGACAAAGATTTTTAATTTAAGACATCTTACATAAAAATGTACGGGAGAAATTATTTGCATGGACAAAAAAGAATTTGTGAAAAACTGGACAGTTTGAGGTCAATGCCTAGCCCGTGTGGCTCATCTCCAATTTCGTTAAGTAAATCGTTTTAAATTAGATTGCTGAAAGTTGAAATATCTGTAATCGAGGGGAGCTTTAAAGAAGTTTTACACCACAACCGAAAAGGATTATTTCGTACGATTCGAAACAAAGCGAAATATATTTGATAATTTGCCTATGCTATATTTATAGCATAGGCTATAGTTTAGTATGGATATAGTTTAGTATGAGAATATTATCCAGTTTCAATGAATTTCAATGGTGTTTTTCTTGGCTACGTGGTTACGTAAATAAAAACATTAAATGACAAAATTGATATTTGTGCATCACATATTTTTATTGGTATCTAATTAAAAGTTATAATAAAGCTTACTGTAATATGTGCAAAATTGGCAAATGGCAAGAAAACATAATTTATTGTGTCTCGGTATAAATCCTTATGAAAAATTATTGATATTTCTTTTTATCAAGACACTCAACAATTCTATCTAGGTAGTATACTAGGAACAAATCCACAGCAAAGCTTTTATTAAAATACATAGCAATATTCTCCAAAATTACAAAAGACATATTTCTTAACAACTTTCTCCAAACAAAAGAGAACCCAGACCAGAATCTCTTCTTTTCAGCCAAAGAATTTCTTCAAGAACTTTTTTATCTCGTACTTATGGGACATTCTGCATATTTTTTGTCAAGTAAAATGCAAATGTTGTATTTCAACATCTACCCTCGTTTAAAACTTTTAATACTAAAGAAAAGAAAATATCTGTGTTAATTCATTATGGAAAAGTAAACTCATTTCAGTGCAAAATGTTGTTGTCAAATGTATTTCGTGCTAACTCGGTAGATTCCTATACATATTTCAAATATATTTGCAAGTCTTTGCAGATCATATTCAGACCTCAAGATCCGCTTCTCAGAAAATACTTAAATTAAAGCTCGATTTTAAATGATTGACATGTTTTTTTCTCTTTCAGCATGCGAACGCCGTCAAAGCTCAGGCAGCAGAATACGTTGAGAAGAAGCAAGCAAGAAAAGCAGCGATGACTAGGTATGGTACTTAGAACTTTTGTATATGAAAATAGCTCCACTCTTCAAAACTTTACATGTTTTACGTGTCTTTGAAATACCTATAGATTTCGATTGAAAGTAGCAACTTAATCGATTAGCATTAGCACATAATTTCATCAGACATTTTGAATAAGCCAATTTGTTACTCGACAAACTTGGTGATTTTAAATGAGCGGCAAATGCCTCGTTAATGCATACCAAATCAGGAAAAACCAAAAAAAACGTAACGAAATCGGTTTGATTGGCTGATCTGAATTTTATTGTTTTAATGTGTCTGTGGGCGTTTTTTTTAAGATATTCGACCAAGTAGAGAATTGACCGGTATTATTTACCATTAAAATGAACTGCCACGCAAAAAAACAAGTAAGTAGTTAGAATCCATTGATATGGGCTTGTCTAAGCAAAATTGGCATACTAATCTATTATAGAGCAAATTGTCAGTTCGTTAGGTTCAAAGAAAGGCAATAAATTACAAAACAATGGAAAAATTACATTTTTTTTTAACTATCACCATGAACTATTCAGCAAATGGCAGGTAATTAGGAGATTGTTCTTCCTAATATAGACGCTAATGGAAAATGTAAGACGATCTGTTTAATGATAATTACTTTCAAAGGTTACTTTTTGCAACAGAATACGAAAAAAATCAGGTAATTTTAACTGTAACTAAAAATATTTACTAGAGAAGTTAATGTTTTAACAACCGATCTTAAAGGGGCGATAATGGAAATGGAACCCAAAAATTATACTCAATTGCAAATACAAAATAAAGGTGAATTTTATATTTTCCAATTTTTTTCTCCAAGTGAACTTTCTTGAAAATGAAATGTTCTTTTAGGCAGGATGGTCGAATTTGAATCAGAAAGTCTTTAAGGGCCTATTGTACTCCTAAAAACATGAAATTTGGTATGCATGTTAAGTTTCACAAATATTTTAAACCTACGGGGCATTTAGAAAAAAATGTTAGAAGATGTAAGAAGGACGTTAAAAAATCTTACTGGTCGAAACTTTTTATATGGTTTGAGAAAACAAGGTACACCTAACCCGAAACGACACAGTTCTTTGGTAAAAAGGTGTGTCTTTAGACTATTTGAAACTCTATAGTTTTCGAGAGAATTCAAATTTTGAATTATTTTAAATGTGTTTTTAAGTAAGGGATCGACGCTTGAACCTTTTGAACTTTCTAGAACACGAAAAGCCGGTTGATTTTCTCATGCGCATGAATTTGAAATCTAAATTAACTAGAAAACTGTTGAGTTTTTCAAAAAGTCTGATGCACTTTTTTGTTTAAAAACTGTTTTTAAACTTTTGTTTAAAAAAATGTCGTTTCGGGATGATTCCGATGTTTCCTCAACGTTATCTTATAAAAAAAACTCGAACTCTCACAGTTCAACGGCCCTAATATTGCTATAATATTTTTTTTAACCTGCTATAGTAAATTTCGAACTCATTTTCAGATTTATCAGTGTTATGATAGTATCGCCACCATAGTTAAGAAGTTCGGCTGTGATTAGGTCTCCGCCAGGGGCTTTCGTATTTTTTTATTTCTTTATTGCTTTTGTAATTTCCTCTTTAGAAGGGATCTCACGGGGTTGTTCCGCAGCCAGCAGATCCAGTCTTCCCCCTCTTCACCAGTTCCTCCATTAAGTAGATGATGAAAGTAGTTTTCCACGTTTGAATATTTCTACTTTGTCAGTATTAGATCTACATTTTCCTTCTTTAAGATATTATCGATCTTGGGTCTGAATCCTGCTTTTGTAGAGCGTAATTTTTGGTAGAATGTTCTTGTTATATGAATGTGTTATCTTTCCCATCTTCTTCTAGTGCAATTAATTCTCTGTCTTGCCATTCTCTCTTTTTTCCTCTTAGCACTTTCTTTATTAGGGTGATGCGAGGTCTGATTGTTTGCCTGTTCTCGACTGTGGGACTTTTTAGCATTTTGAGTCTAGCAGTATTTCTCTTGTCCATAGCATCTTCGCAATCTTCATCATATCAGTGGCTTTTGTGTTGCCTCCTGGATTTTCCCCCTAGCACCTAGCACCTTGCTGCTTGTGTAATTATTCGATAATTACACATTTTCTCTGATAAGTCGCTCAAGTTGTTCCTGATAATGAGTTCTTAGCTCTGTCTGCTGAAGCTTTTCTGTAGCCCACTGACGGTTGGTTCACCTGTTCTTCACTGTAGATATTCTGGCTTTAATCTTGGCTGTGAGCAGAAAATGATATGAATCGGCCTCTGCCTCCCTGCAGCTTCTCACGTCTAGTACATTACGTCCGTGCCTTGCATCAATTATAACGTGATCTATTTGGTTCCTGGTTACACCATCATTAGATATTCATGTCATTTTGTGTATATCTTTGTGATCAAACAGTGTGGACTTTATTAACATATTATTTGTTGCTACAAGATATGCAGTCTTAAACCGTTGTCGTTGGAGCCATTGTGCAGGCTGTGCATGCCCACATGAGCTCTTAGGGCCTTTTTTTGTCCAATTTGCGCATTAAAATCTTCCAGGATGAGTGTCATGTCTTGTATGGGACGTTGGGCTAGTTTCCTCTCCAAAGTGTCGTAAAGCAGATCTTTTATACCCTGATCATGCTGAACTCAGTTTTATGGTCGGGGCCACTTGGAGGCAGGATGTGCATATTAGGATAAAAGGAACTAGATAGGATATAAGGAGTAGCTGTGGTTCCTTTTATCCTAATATGCACATCCTGTCTCCAAGTGGCTCCGACCATAAAACTGAGTTCAGCAAAGATTTCTTGAGTGGAAAACTTATTTAGAAAGCGTTGGCGTTTTGGTCATTACGACTATAGAAAAGTACTGAATTCCCAACGTCAGTATGACCTGGCCATCGTATTTCTTACAAAGCGGTGATATCCATATTCATTCTTTACATTTCTTTGATCGCTTTTATTTCTGCACAGTGCACCGGATCGATATAAACTGAGCACTTTCCATGTTCCAATATTCATATGTTCTTACGTTGTTCTTTGCTTTCTTTGCCTTAGTGTATCCGTTCTGATCCGAGGCTTCTGTTGCTTATTCGTAACCCATACTTTTTTCACGAGGTGGATTGATTAGCCCCACGCTCAGCCCTCCTCTTTTCCCAAACCGGGCTTGGCCGGGCCGTCTACGGCAGAGTTATTTTCATAATGTTAAATTTTTAGACTAGTAATAAAAAAGCAAAAATCAGTAGACCCACCTTGCAGTTTGCAAAAATTCCACCCGCATCAACTACACAGAAAATAAAATACCCCTACGCATAATGAACTATGATGATTGTGCTATTCTTTATTTGCTGGCTGATATCGATATTACAACCATATATAATTGAGATGCGTGGCACCCACATGCAATAGTTTGTAGGCGCGTAATTAGACCACTTATCATTTGAAGAAAGTTTTACTAGGAGAAGAAATTTTCAACGTCTGCAAATCCAGATTAATAACCCACGCTTGAGGAATTATTTCCTAATCCTCGTATGGTCAAGAATAATCGATAAAAAGATGATACGTACAATTAAAAAATATATTTTACACAAGGCATAATAGTGCAATTTTAGTATGGGATGTTTGCCAAACTCTCAAACTTACTTCTCACTATAAAGAAAAAATTATCTTGAATATTAAGTCCTTTGATTTTACAATAGTTGACTCACTACCAGAAAGTACATGTACTATCATAATGCGAAATACAAATTAATTGATTCCTAATTTGAAAAACGAGCTTTTAGATATTTTTTTTGCAGAAAACCGGTATACGGTACACAAAATACCAATTCTAGCAGCAGTTCAAAGTTCTTCGTAACGAGTTACATACGTGTACAAAATATTGTAAAATTTTCATAAAGCTTTTGAGATATTTAAATTTCAAAATACATTTAAGTACTACGGTTTGTATGTGAAAAGGAAGTAATTGGGCTAAATATGAGCAGTCTTTATTGGTCCTCTTCCTAACTGCGGTATCCGTTTTGGTTCAGTATTAATATTGCATATTATTACGTGTTGAGTGTCTGATGGATAAGACAATACCGTCTGTGTGGCCACTCTCGTATATTTTGAGACCAAAGTAACACAGTTAATCGTGAAGAAATCAAAAATGGAATATGACCGTTTTTATCGAGAGAATATCGATATGAACTTATAATAATGGCTAAAATAAGTAAGAGTAAAATCATTGTAGAAAACAAAATATACCGAAACCCTGACAAGTTTGAATTAAAAAATAACTTTTATGATGTAAGAACAAATCCTACACACATATAGTGAGTCAGGTTCTTCCATTACACCAGAAGGAGTCAAAGTAGCCATTAATCACATGAAAGGAGGATAAGCCTCAGGGCCAGATAATTATATTCGCGATTCCGAAAAATGTTGGACGATGATGGTGTTGGACTGTTGCTTGTTTAGGGCGATTGGTGGCTGCAGAACAGAAATAAAACATAATATAAAATTTGTAAATTTTGGAAAATCGGCCTCTAAACATCTTATAGGCACCTTGCGGTCATCATAGCCATAACTCATTTTTGTGACTATCCGAAAAAGTTCTGAGGTTGTTTGTTTTCTTCTTTGCCAGATGCTTCTTCCTAAGAGTATATGTGACAAAAGTCGATATTTGTCACTTCGTCACTTTACTTTTAAGTATCAAATTATTTTTAAAAAATGTATAAAGCGCAAAAATCTTAATGCATTTCAAATATTTGTGTAATTTTTTATTCCACTTTTTTCATTAACCCATTTGACTGAAGCACGTACAGAAACTATCGCCGTTTCGATTCAGAGGTGCGACCAAATCAACAAAAGCCTTTTTCAAGCATTATTTTAGACGTGTGAAGATGCTTAACGCTAATGTTTATATTTCGTCTTCCATACGTTTATGCAGATCTTTCGATATATCACAAGATTATTGAGCGTGAAGCGGTAATCTTAGTGAAATCAGAGATGCGGTGTCGTTAAAATATGAAGGGATTTCTCATTAAAACGTTACTAGATTTACTAATTTAGTTTTACTTTTACTGGACAATATTAACAGGAATTCCAGTAACAGAAGCAACCACCAGATAATTAGCTACTTTTGAAATGTGGCTTTACAAAAAGTGTGGGGAATATCAAAGACTGACTAAATAACTAATTAAAGAGTCGTTCGTATAATGAAGAAACGATAATTGCGGTAAAGGTGGGAAGAGATGAAGAATCATACAAAAGTCCGACCCCTACAGGAGTGTTAGAAGTCTAAACGGCGCCGTAAAAGCAAACGGCACAAGAGAATGATTCTACTCTTAAGTCTAATTGAAGATGTCATGTCAATAAATCTTCCAAATAGCAAAAAGCGGATCATCATGACTTACACTGTGAATATTCGAATATAAAAAATGACTTTCAATAATTGATTTTTGACTTGTGCAGTGTAACGATTTCCGCTTCATTTTTTTTCTAACTATTATCAAACCCTAATGTATCTGACATATGAAAAATGGGTAGGTATGTTCGAACAATAGGAATCAATCAATTAAGTCAAATTACTGTTAAACTTTTTGTTTTCCTGCTTATTGGCATCGTTAAATTGTGTCGTCATTGAAACAGTGTCGGATCTTTGGCAACAATAATGTGGCAAGTTGATAGCGTAACTTCAATGTGCAAGCATAAAACCTTGAACGAGGCTTAGTTGATGTAAAAACCGTTATCAGTGGATGGTTAAATTTGGGTACATTTTGCGACATTACCTAGAAACTACAAAGATATTGCACATGAGGTTTTTAATTTAAATTCAGTAGTCTTTTTGCACCCAAATCTTTATTCTGAAGAACAAACTATCCACAATATGTTTGCTCAATAGGAGCAGTTCCAGTGAAAAAGTTAACATGTTCCAGAACTGTTGTGTTCTCACATATTTTTAATGATTTTGTCATGTTTTTCATGTAGTAACTTAATATTTCAATATAATTCATAATAGTAGATTATTGTCAAATCAAAATTGAATTAATGACGGCTAATGTTGCTTAATGTAATTTGTTAAAAGTAAAAATGCGTATAAACGATTTGCAACCGCTACTGAAGAGTTTTTTATTTATTTATATACAGCACGAGAATCTAAATAGCGCAAATTACTTAAGTCGCTAATTGAGTCGCCATATATGGCATGAATAACATTACCTAATGGATATCAATTAATAACAGCTTTTATTGATGGTAAAAGTGTTGCTGGATTTTACGATTATTGAAAAAACTCGTTTTTCTGTAAACCAGAAAAATTATCTGCTGATGCGAAACAAGCATTAATACCGACACTATTGTTTTTCGAGTGATTAGTTATTGGTAAATCGATTTATTGGCTGGAATATCCGACCATCAATAATTTAAGCTACTCTGCTAAACTCATGGATTTAAATCAAATTTGCAATCGTTTTTTTTTCTATTGTTTGTTTTGTCGGGAAAAATACGTTTTTCTAACAACAAATAGAAAAATAGTATTGTTTTAGAAAGTAAATTCGCTACAACACATGAAATAGTTTCATCTTGTTTTAGTTACAGCTTAATAATACCCTTGCTTTGATATATCGTGCGAATCGGATCAATATTCTGCCAATTTACGCTTACGGTCTAGTTAAAGAAAATATGTATAATTTATTTAATTTTTATAAGCTTTCACTACTGTTAGCTGCTCTTGAACTACAGTAAATGTGACAAAGAATTGTTAATTTTACAAGCACTTCTGTTGATGCTGCTACTGCGTTGTCAAAACTTAAACTATTCATCAAGACTCGACTGAAGAAATCGCAAACTGTAATAAAGCCAGATTCAAATAATACTCAAATCCGCTCAAAATTATAAAAGACTTCAAAATTAAGCAACAATCGACGAAATCCGCGTGACAACAAATGGAATAAAATACTCCATACGATTGGCTTGAAAGGCTATTTGCCTTTTCATATTGTAGATAATCCAAGTTTTAGATAAGTATGTAGAGCTTTGAATCCTGATTGCCCATTACCTACACGAAAAAGCGTCGAGATAGTGAGAATCACTACTGATGGCTGGGCATCGATTAATGCCAAAAATTATATATCCATTACTGCACACTACATTAATCACAAAAATGAGATGACAAGTGTTTTACTAGAGTACTATACTTACAGGGAAAGTATTCAGTAGCACATTTTTCTGGAAGAATTTAAGGGCATGTGTCAAGAATGGGAAATTTCTCAAGAAATATCGACGGTCGTAACAGACACCTTTCCCAATATAGTTGTTAAGAGAAGTAACAAGAAAAATACCACTAATATGCTAGTAGACACTGTTGGCACAAATATCCTAGATGAAAATGAAATTCTCGGACGATGGCTCAAATACATGAAAGAGCTGTTTGATGATGATAGACCGAAAGAATCTAACTTCGATGACTGCGTTGACATAGACGGAGGAGCATAAACTCTCAAGTGTGAAGTTTTATTTGCAGTGAAATCTGCAAAATCCAAAAAAGCCACCGGAACGAAACGATGCAGTGCCACATGATGAGCCACACCTTAAAGGGCTTTCCCAGAATTATTCACGGGAGGATAAAATCCAAATGTGAGACAGATTTGGATTTAGAAGAAGAAGAAACTCAATTTGGATTTACAAAGGCTTTGGGAACTATAGAAGCAATGTTTGCTCCGAACATACTACTACAAAAATGTCGTGACCAGCGCAAAGACGTTTTYGTGTGTTTCGTTGATTACGAGAATGCCTTCGACAGACCACAACACAGGAAGCTYCTTAAAGAACATGGAGGTGAACAGCAGGGACTTTAACATTGTCGAATATTGACACTGGAAACAGAACGCAACAGTACGACTGAACGGAAAGCTAACGGAAGAAAGCCAAATTCTACGAGTGGTCAGACAGGGCTGCATACTGCCCCCATTGTTTTTTAACATATATTCAGAAAAAAAATATTTTAACGGGCTATTCAAGAGCAAGAAATGGGAGTACAAATCGATGGAGAATATGTAAATACGATATGGTATGCCGACGACACTATCATCCTAAGCGACAAACTAGAGGACCTGCAACATCTGCTAAACTGTGTAAGCGCAGAAGGACAAGAAATGGGGCTCAACATAAATATCAACAAGACAAACTTTATGGTCTTCAGTCGTCAGCCTCATCCTGATGCTGCACTACAGATGGATACGAAAAMTATACACAGAGTAGCCCGGTTTAAGTATCTTGGATGTTATATCACCGAACATCTAGACCCAGATAGAGAAATAGGGTGTAGAATAGAGACAGCCCGAACAACATTCCAAAAAATGAAACCACTAGTTTCCAATGATAACCTGAACTTAAAATTACTGCAGACAATGGTAAAATTTTACATATGGTCAGTGTTCATATCGAAGCGTTCGAGATGTGGTTACACCAGCGAGCGCTGAGATTACCCTGGACAGCTATACAGACCAACGAAATGGTACTAAACAGGTCCAACGCAACACGTTTACAGCTAAATACGTTTAGATACAGAAGAATGTCATACCGTGGACATGTCTGCAGAGGAGAACGATACAGGATCCTACAACTGATCATGATGGGAAAAGTGAAAGGACGTAGAGGAGCGAGAAGAAAACAAGGCATGGCTGAGGAACATTCGACTGGTATACAAAACGCAAAGGAACTATTCCGATTATCCCAAATCGAGAAGGATCCGTCCAAGCGATTGTCAAAGAGAGAAGAAGAAGAGTTAAAGGAACTGGATGAGGAATATGCCCTGTTGTACACATAGTATAAACCTAATCGGTCAAGGCGCCTTAAAGCATTTCAATATGCAAGAAGAGTTTGTTGGATGTTGTCATTTAAGTCGACTGATGTTCTGTTTCTTGAAATATATGGATCCTTTTCTAGACTACAGAGTTTTTAAAGACATTATCGCTCATAATTATTGATAGGTCCAATCGTAAATTTCTCTGTATCTCCCGTTTGTTTCCATAAGTCTTCGTAAGTCTCCCATTTGAAACTAAATCTAATCGAGTTTTTCCAAAATTTTTATTTAGCGAATGTGTCTAGGGACATTACAAGGGAAACTTGAACCCATTAAACTAAATTTTCCTTGTAAATTTCCCTTAGTTTCCTGGGGAAAAATTGGATTTAAAGTCAGCAGTATAGACGCAGATAAGTGAAAATATTGACGATTCTAATTCACAATCATGAAATGATAACAAACAATCCTATCGGCAAAATTCACTTTGGGCTCTTCCAACGTAATTTCGCAGTGTCGCTTCCAAAACCCTCATTTGCAGAGTTTTGGAGAGTTTCCCTATACAGTTTTCGGCACGCCTTGTAAGCTATAGGCATCAGAGACAAGAAACAGTCCCGCCTTATAGATTCTCTCTTGTCTCTGGTAGAAATAATTCTTCGAATTAATTGGTTTATTGTCTTATTGGGTTATTTGTATTTTATGTTCCTATTGATGTTTTCGTTCAATTAAGAGCTGTGTGCCCATTAAGGCAAGCAATAATTCCGGTTTCCGATGGTTTGTGTGAATCTTACAATTTCTTTCATCAGTTGTTGAATCAATTGATGAAAATAGGAAATTGTAAATGGCATTGTTTTTTTTTGTTATAGCATTCACACTGAAATATAATATTTTGCTCTTTTCAGATCGGTAACTGGATCATTAGCACAAGCCCAAACTGTGATCAAAATTGCAGATGTAAAATACTTTACTACAGCAAAGCCGGGGACTTTCTTCGCAAGGTAAGAAATAAAAAAATTTGTTTTTACAAAATAATTTTACATTTATAAAGCGATTCTTCTTGATTTAACAAAATATTTTATCTCTATCATTTACTGAGTCGGAGCCGCGCCAGAACCAGACCCAGAATTTGATTGTAATTTAATTTACCATAATGACTTTGCCTTTTGTACCTGTGATATTAATTGTTCCATAAAGGCGTTGCCTTTTGAAGTGGAAATCTGTTCTTTTGCGCTACCTTCAGAAGATTAACGTTAATGATCAAGTTAATTCATTCATGCAAATTGACTTTATTAGTCCTTAGTTATAAAAGAGTGAGGAGTTAAAGTTAATTACTTGTGCTTACTTGTTTTATTTCAAATTCCCATTTTAATAAATTTGCGGTTTGGGAACAAAGTGGTTTTTCTACTGGCCTCATCAGTCCTAAATATTATTTTTTCATTATTAATTTCATATGCAGTTAATTACTTAATTCTTACTCACGCATACTTAATGCTTTCTTCATTTCAAGCAGCCTCGAATTCGATTATTTAACGCGTATCAGGCAACTGAAATTAATTTGTTTTGCACCAATTCAGGCGCTTTCCGTATAATTTTTTGGTGTCATATGCTAATTATTCGTTTAGGTAAACTTCAAGGTTGGATAAAAGTTTTGCTACCTACATAGCATAATAGTGAAAATTAATTTTATCACACATGTGTTAATATTGGCAGCAAATAGGCCAATAGTTCTGGCGAATAAAGAGAAACGTGTTCATATAATCAGCGTTTACACTTTAGTTTCAGCTTATGCCATATTAAGCATGCATCAATGAAACCATTAGAAAAAAATCAATACTGCATTATTGTTATTATCATAATGGATGTTTACACTTTCATTGACCTATGAGAATTTTCTCAACTAATGTAGGCTGAAGTGCGATTTTGTGCGCTTCAAGAGATATTATATTATGGAAGTAGGTGCTTAAAACAACAAATAAAAAGATTTTCTCCATTTTCTTGTATTTTGCGTGGTCGTGAAGAAATGCGTGTAACTTCTGTGAAACAATTGATGTAGAAAAATTTTCATTTTATACTTTCCTAGGAGCGGGTTAACAAAAGGTAAATTTTACCAAAATTGAGATGTTACTTGTTCTTGAAAATATAATTTCAAAAAAATAACAAAGGAGGCCTAAAATTAAGATGCCATTGAGTGAGTGAATTCTACTATTTGTATAAGTATAAGAAAACTATAAGTTTCATAGAAATATGATATATTAAATGGGTGCAACATTGTTTTGCGCCGGCTTCAATAGCGACAACATAAAATAAATGAGACGCATTCACAAAAGTTTTCAAAGAAGCAATCGTTTGAATGAGAATCTTCTATATATGAATAGAAACCGTTATTTTACAGAAAAAATCTGAATGTACTCGAATGTATATCTACTTTGCCATCAGATTTTGCCCATGAAGATAGCAAAAGTGAGAAGGAAAGTAGGAATATATTTAATATTAAAATCTAAACATTGTTTGGTTGGATTCTGACAGAAGCTGATGATAGTACATTAGGGAGAGTCGGTTTTCTTATACATATAGAAAAGTACTTAGTACATCTGTGACCATAGAAAGATAAAAAATGCACATTGTTGTTACCAAATTGAAGATAGGGTGCCACTTAAAAAAAATTAGACCTACGCTTCAACGTGTTTACAAAGCGGCGCAGACATATACATATTCTCCAAATATATTTGCACTGTAGTGAGCAATTTCAGTGAGAAAATGTTTCATACCAAATAAAAGATGCTTACGACTGCTGCAATTCGCATTGGAACAAAAAATGTACATAATGAATTCCTCTTTGAACAAAAGCTGCCAGTAGAAAGTACTCAAGCGCAGACCGTATCAGTGAAGGTGAGGTAGATACTATCAAATCGAAAAGAAATCGTTCAAAACGTGAGTGGGTTAAACACATTAGCAGAAAGGTGGCCATTGAGTGAAATAATTATCCATGTCTAGAGGGAAAAACCCAAAAGAGACCGAAAAAGACAGTATCAAGAAAGACACAGCCAGACTTCTAATCAAGAGGAACCTAAGAAAATGAAGAGCGCCGTAGTATCACTCTGAATTCACTCAATACGCGGAAAACATTATTGAAAAGAGAGCGAAAAGTCCTAGAGGTAATAAATAGTGAAATATTGCCGGCCTTAGAAGAAGCTGCAGAAATACCTTGTGGTAAACAGTAACCTAGTCGGAAGTTATTCTACTCCTTTTGATTTCCAACCCTTCTCAATTCTGTTATATTCACCTTCCTGATATACTCGGGTGAACGTGGAGGTTACTCGCATTCGTCTGTAATTTGCACATACACTTTTCTCTCCTTCGTTTTTTAATATGGTGGTCATCTATGAAGTATTCCATTTCTCTGATATCTTTTGCTTATTGAGATACTTTGTCGAAATAATTTGCTTAGCTCTTAGGATATATATCTGGCATTTCGTATATCCCTTTTTACTTTCTCCACACATTCCTCTTCCAATCATATGTGCAAATGTGGTCCCACCTGACAGCGGACTTTCGAGGTTCGAAATCTCAACAAAAGAAAGGAATACTAGGACAGGAAGTGAACCTGGTGTGGATTCCGGGGCACATGAGTTTCGCTGGAAACGAGCGGGCCAATGCATTGGGAAGGATCAGATCTTCTGAGAGCCCAATATCTGCAGAACCTCACATAGGGTTAAGTAACCCTCAGGAAGCAAGCGCTCTAAATGGCTGGGGTCTTAGAGCCACCACAGAGATGTAGATAAATGCGGAAGGGTGTAGACAAGCCGAAAAGTTGATTGGAATCTCAAGTGACGCCAAGGCAACATCCTCAAATGGTTGGTGTCAAGGAGTCGCTGGGCCCTGAGAACTATGGTTGGGGTCATGACAGGCCACTGTGGTCTGAACAAGCACCTACACCTACTGGGAATTGGTGATAGCCCCGTGTGTCCACAATGTGGAACGGCGGAGGAAACATCAAACCACCAATTAGGGTACTAAACTTATTACATAAGATATGCAGATGATACCATCATGTTTGCAGATAATCTGCAAGGAGTACAGAGTTTGATGGATAGGGTTACCAAAATTAGCTCACAGCACGGGTTAGAAATGAACACAAACAAAACCAAACTCCTCATAGTAAGTAAAAGAAACATCCCGGAAGACAGTTTATACATCAATCACAGTAGAATCACAAAGAATAAGGCAGAACACATACTTGGGCACAATCATTAACGAGATATGGGACAACTCTCAAGAAACACGATGTCGCATCGAGAAGGCCTGCCCTGTGTTGATTAAAATGGGCTCGCTTTTTAAAAGGCATAATCTATCCTTAGAAGCTTAGACTCTTGCGTTGTTACGTCTTCTCGGTCCTTCTGTATGGCGTGGAAACATGGACACTCACTAAAGAGACTATGCGGAGAATTGAAGCGTTCGAACTCTGGCTGTACAAGAGAATACTTAAAACATCTTGGACACAAAAAATTACCACCACAGAAGTAATGCGACTGATGAAAAAAGAACCAGAGCTGTTGGATATCGTAGAATGTCGGAAACTTCAGTATTTCGGACACATAATGAGGGACCCAAATAGACATGGTCTGCATCAGGAAATCCTACAGGGCAAAGTTAACAGCAGGAGAGGACCCGGCCAAATGAGAATATCTTGGTTGGCAAATCTTAGAACGTGGTTTGACAGATTATCAGCGGAACTTTTCCGAATTACCATCAACAAAGTAAGAATAGCCATGCTGATAGCCAACATGCGGAGCGGATAGGCACTTCAAGAAAAAAAAATAGCTGCTCATCTACTAGGAGGCGCCTCTTTGGGGCCTCCACACTCTCCAGCATAGAATTGTCTTTCTTGGAGTGGACGGATTTGTTAGGACGCCTTTGTTAGGCAGACGGGAAGCCTGGGTGGCGAAAATCAAGAGTGGTAACGTGGGGATGGATGGAGGGGATATGGCAAAAAGGGCCCTTAAGGCCCATTCGCCGGATTCATCAGGTCTCCCTACAATACTACTACTTCTACTTCCCTAAATATTTCTTGAGGGTGTTTTTACATGTTTTTTTCAGCATTTGTTCTTCCTTCCAATTATTTTTGCCTTATTGTCGCATGTGTTTCTGTAATAACTGCTTTTATCTTTATTTAATTTTTGAAAGTCATCAGTTCGTTTTTCCAGTTCAATCAGTAGGATTTTCAGTGGGTGTTATTGTTTCAGTGGATTCTCATCATTTGCTCTGTTCATTTGACTCTAACGTACTTTTGAAGATTTTATTTTCCAACTTTTCACTCAGAAAATTTGGTATTGTTTTCGCAACGTTTCTTGATCCAGTTTCTTAAGGTTATCATTTATGTGATGAAACGTAAATTTTCCTGCGGCTTTTTGTTAATTTGTCATTTGCGTTCTTAGGACTAGTAATTTTGCCGCTTCCACAAGTAGCACCACTTTGCTTCCTGATATCTAGCATATACGTATCTATCTTCTTTGTATTTATGTATTTTTCCATATACAAAGTTACCGTTTAATATTTGTAGGATATTTTTTGCCACACAGATATAATACGTCTTTTGTCATTATAATTTTTTTTATCATCGCACTTATTTTCCTGTTATTAATGTCTCCTAGCCATATTAGTTCCCTTATTTTTCCGACCTTAATAATTTCGTTATTTAACATGATTTGTGTTAGAATATCCTCGTTGACTGTGGCTTGGTAGAAAAATCCTTGGGCCGCATATTCTTCTTCTTTGTCAAATATGGCTTCATTTTTAATGGTTTTATTTTGACCATAACTTAAACGTTTAATTTCTCCTTCTTAATTAGTCCCAGCAGCAGCATAAGCATAATCCACACAGAAGTCGATTATGTGCCATCTCACAAATAATTAGGGCATGAGCCGATATTTGCAAAATTGCAAAACGCATAAATTTGTGAGCAACAACTTTTGGCATGCAGAGAAACACGATTTTTAAAAGTAATATGCCAATATTTCTGAGAATTAAAGTTCTTGAGCAGGATTGTTTTGGCTTCAGATGGAGCTTTAATGTAGACGGACGCATATTTAGTTATTTTCTTCATATTTAAGCACATCAGTTATAGATTATTTTAACCAAGTCCTTCTATTGTAAATATCTCTTAATTTGTTCAAAAGCATCTTGTTGACTATTTGCAAACTACAAAATCAAAACCACTTATTTCAATCAGTCAAGTTAACACCTAATTAATGTGCAAGTTAATTTCCCAACTTCTTTTATAAATTTATAAATCGCATACAAAACAGACTAGAACTTTGCAGAACATGTGACAAATTGACAAAATGTGTTCAAATTAAAACTTCACACTTTACAGAGAAGTAAAACACTTCAGCACCAATAAAAATGTTAAAAATATAACTTGACATATGCAATTAATGTTGTAAAGTTTCACATATTGGCTTTTTTGATGTATTTCCAACCTCCGTACCAATATCTAGGACACAGAACATCCGGTGTATTACAATAAAATAATGCGATAAGTTCCTACAAGGATATGGAGCTGAGATATTCAAAATTCATGCATACGTAATGGTGCATATGATGCACATATTGCACTTAGCACGTGATTAGCCTGCAGTCATTGGCATAACAGGATGAAAGTTATGACAAACGGAAAGTACTCTACTGGCATTAAAGTTGAATTAAACAGATTGATTTTTAATAAAAATATACGTATGAAAAAAATTTCGATCAATACCGCGTCTTACTCAACAATATTTTTTCTAAAGCGGGGAAAACTACTAAAACAACTAGGTATATTCGCTTTTAAAATGGGTAAATTAAACGGATGCTCTGCACCCAAACCTTTCATAAATCTGCTATTTTATTAACCCGCAATTTTTTATTTAATAATTCCAGCTCTAATTGCGACGATTTTAATGATCTCGTTGCAGTAAACAGGACTTGGTTATCATATATCTGGCTCGCTTTGCTAGAAATCTAGATAGTGTTCATTTATAAATAAAAATCACATACAATCACTTTTCGTACTGATGATGCTCATTTATATGCAAAGGAAATAGTGAGAAATCCGGTAATCTTTATTTATCGCCAATTAGCAGCTATAGTTTATGAAGTGCAAACTTATTATTCAGAATGCAATCTGTACAGTTGAAATTACGGTTTTAAATATCATCTTTACGTGACATTATCGGCAATAGATTTGTGCGGTTAATAATATCGACGCTCATTCAACAGACCAATACTTTTCGAAGCTTCTAATAGCTTTGAGTTTCCTATTTTGTTCAGTTGTAAGTTCTTCTTAGGCATTCTTACAAGAACGTGGTAGATTTATGAAGACCAGGATAAATCTTTTGGTGAAACTGTTCGCTTCTGAACCAAAAAGTGTTCTTGTTACAAAAGATTTCCGTCGTAAATATGTTTTGATTATATACGTTTTGACCTTTCCGTTTCGGTGAATAAAAATGGACTTAAAAGCGTTTATTTCATTTCATTGCCAAAACGTATTTTAGTTGAATTTATAAATATTTGCATTTGCATAGTAGATTACTGAACAGGCTGCTTGGGTGCTTTTCTCTGGAATCTAATCCGACCAGTACAAAATTGAATACACACCTGAATGTACTCGTGAATAGAAAAAGACAAATTTCCCACGTGTGCCTATAATAACCTATAATAAACCAAAAAGTCAATTTATGAAGCATATGTTAGCTTTGGCTATAAAATGGTCTGGTGGAAGATGAAAAACGTTAAAAAAAAACCTGAAGTGATATTTCAACGGAGCTCGGCAATATATAAATAGTCCTAATTAAATTTAATATAATTACTTCTTTCGACTCTGCGGCAATAAATCAATCAAGTTGTTGGTTATGCACGAGAACTTTGTGACATTAACAAACAGGCAGACACAAAAATAATCTATCGCCATAAGTCGTTGTTTAACACCCCATGCACATAAATACAAACGAAGACTTTTCACATTTCACTATTTATAGACGATTCTGTTTCATTTAATACCCTTCGTATTATTGGAGTCATTAGCATGTTTTCTCAGGTTGGCGTCAAATTTGTTTTGTCTCGGAACCGATTTTTATGTCTTAGGTATTTCATTTCAGCCCGTCAGGAGCCAATGAACTTTTTATGAGACGTTACAAAATTTAGTTTTAAAATACCCTAATTTGAACCAGTCAAATTACGTATTTTAATGGAAACTTCAAACACATTTCTACTTTTTAAAATAAATTAGGTACACAAATATTTCCGATACTTGTCAAAAAACCTCGCTTTAGAAACAGTTATTTCCACCAAACTCGCCCATGTATCGCTCTTTTTAGCAGAATTTGATTATAAAATCGAACAATAGCTTTTTCAGTAAACGACAATAATTTTTGATTTTTTTTCTGCTTCATTTGAAATGAAAAAAAACTTCAAAATTTTGTCAAGCTTTTAATCAAGCCCCAATTCCAACAATCATTTATGGCTAAAATACTACTAAAGAAGTCATAATTTTCGGTCATAAAATCGGTGGCGGCTTATAGTACAACTTTTCAGATGTTCAGGAATTGTTACAAAAAAATATATATCTCCTTTTAAAATGGCAAACATAAAAAAGAAAAAAGTTATCAATTTATCCGTCCTTTTTCTTGCCTGTTCGCAAATTTTGGAATCACTTTCGCATTAGTTTTTAATAGGAAACAGAGTTTATGAAAATCGGCTAAACGATCCTCGGCTTCCTCGGTCCTGTCTGAATTGCTGAGGAATGTTTTGATTCTTTAAGGTTCAGAAACATGGTTTGGCTCCGATGATTTTGGCATGAGAGTTGTTAGAACATTTTGTCTTAATTCACAATAATTTCTTTCTCTCATTCAAAGTATCTCCTAAATAGTTTTTTTTATTTATTGAATTAATACCAAAGAGTGTAGTTCGTAATCGTCCCTTCTCAAATGTGGAATGAAAGAAACTTGCAAAAGTGAGCTTATTATCAAGAAATTAAGCGCCTTATTCTCCAAAGTGATCCAATATGAGGCTGGAATAGTTTTTATAGCTACTCTTTCGAGCTTTTTGGGGGTTCTGGAAGTTTTCAAACATTTAACGACGTTCCGGGCAAAAGAATGTAGGTATGAGCAATTGGAACAGTCGAAACGTTGCAACATTCAACGAAAACGATGTTATTGAAAAGTGGCATTTTGTCTAAATTCGACTCTCAAGTGAAAAATTTGCAGATTTCCGATTTTTAAAACATTTGAAAATTTTCAGAATTAAAAACAAATTGCAAATATTTTTTAACCATTAAGTTTCTCTTAAAAATAAGGAACAACCAGCGCTTCAAATCTTCCAAACTTTAAACTTCCTGACCAAAATGAACTTTGGCCCTGAAACAGCTTTTTACGCCAAGTCTATAGGCTATCAGCGAGTTTTTGAATTTCTGAGAAATGTTGATAACTGACCGAGTTACAGGGTAAAGAGTGGAAGTTTGTGCAAGTTTGAGAGTGTCACTTGCCAATATTCAGAGCCCATTTCGTTCCAAACTGTTGCAAAGACAAATTTTCGTAAAGACAGTGAATGTGTCGGGAATACAGTTTGCAAAGAATCTAATGTTCTATTTTAAAAATTAGTTAATCGAGGTAAAACTATTTTGACCGGAAATCGCCTTTTTGACTTTCAAATCATCATACCTTCCAAGTTTTCCAACCGATTGCAATTTCCGAAATCTAGTTTTTATAGAAAATCGTACGTTTTTCAACAAATTTCCAAATTGGACCGATTTTAACAATTATGCAGAAAAATATCTACATGCCTACATACAAAAACCTGTTTTTCCAAAAAAAATGCGACCTTAAATCCACAAAGAAAACATTGATAACATTTGTCTTGAAAAATCGTCTTTTCGACCTTCAAACTCTTATGACTCAAGTTTCTCAACTGATTTCAAGTTTGCAAAATACGGTTTTTAGACAAAATCACTCGCTTTAGAACTAGTTTTCAATGATCCAAATAGGGCCGTATTATAATTATAATTAGAGCATAATATTGTTAATATGCGTGTCCGTCGTGTTGGTATTTGCATCATGCAAAGAATTTATTTTCTTAAATCTATGAAATTAGACACAAATATCATTAGTCGACATAAACCCAGCAGAAAGCTTTAAACCCGCCCTTGGTTTGGTGACTTATAAGATTCAACTAATATCATTCAGGAAAATTGATCACAACAAATCACACATTTGGAAACTAAATAATTTAAAAAATTATGGTCTTGCTTATTCATTTTATTGGTATGCAACTTCAATCTGAAATAACTGTAAATTTTCGTTACAGAGACAACGTTAGCAACTTCATAAAGTGGTGCAGATTTTGCTTGGAAATTATCGAGTGTCTCCTTTTCGAATCGGACGACTTAATCATGCGAAAGAATGAAAAACATGTCATCTTGTGTTTATTGGAAGTTGCCAGAAGAGGAGCCAAGTGAGTTTTAGAAAAATAAAACGAGTGCTGCTAAGTGCAGTTATTTTGAATAAATTTAAAATAACCTGAAATTAATTGCTAGGTATTACTGTACATTGTTATTACAGCCTTTTTCACTCAACAGGTTCGGTATGTTGGCTCCAATGCTAGTCCAGATGGAACGGCAAATTGATCGAGAAATCGCAGCTGATCAGAAGAAATTGGGAATCAACGACGGAAATGAGAACAGCAGTGGATTAGATGATGATGACAGCGATAGCGAGTTTGAAGAAGAACCCCCCATGATGTACGGCCCTGTTCCACAAATTGTCACCAATGATTTGAAGAGTTTAGACGAAATGGTAAGTGATATTTCTTGTTCTGTTCAAGTATCAATATACTTCGCATACCGCATTGATTTTTAGAACCGCACTTATGTCACTTCTGTTTATTTAAGTGATATAACGACTTTTTAAAACGATTGGTATTTACTGAACAAATCCACCGTTAAAATCAAACGATTGGGTTGTTTGTTTACCAACACACTTATCGCTGACAGGTGAATGACTAATAGACATTAAAAAATCATTTATCACTTCGACCAGTAGGTAGTTACTGTAACGACTTGCATAACGGCGTTTCAAAAATATTTATTTGGAAAGTATTTATTTAATGCTATTGGATGAATTTGATGAAATTGGACCTTCTAACCACCTACAACGATACACGTTGCATGTTTTTAACTGCTTTACCAAACGTGTTTAGCCCCAAGTATTTTTTTAATTTAACCAAAGAACACAACTTTGAATAAGTAATTTCTTTGGTGAGTGGATGCTCTCAATTCCCAGATATTTTCTATTTGTTGAAGCTGAATACTGTATGAAACGTATATCAAGAGTAGTGCAGTTCAAAAAGCGT